AGATAAACATAGTTAAAGTTAAAGATATAAAGCTCAAAAGAAAAACTTTCATTTGCCACTATTGTGTAAGCGTTAGCATATATGTTAATATGGAAAACGAATATTTTCATTATTTCACTTAAATATTAAAGCTTCTACCAAAATGACGAGAATACCCTTTCATTTGCAGTTAAAATCGTCTTTACTTCCTGAACAAATATTCAGCATCACAATACGCGGCCCGTGAATTCAGTCATAGCAAAAGCAGAAGTTATTTACATTTCAGCTTCATGCAGAAATTCGAGAAAATTTTTCCATGGCTTTTGCATTTTGCAGACGCCTTGAGATCGTTACTATTGTATATTTCCTTATATTCTACTAGCATGAGGAAAACCTGTCAAAACTGTTTTATGCTTAACGTCAAAGCAAATAATCGAACATCATCGAATAAGTTTGGGGGATTCGATTAATTTTCACGAACAGATTATGAAAACGAAGCGGTGTGGCAGTTCTTAGAATTTCAATACGTTGAATCGCTTTAATATTTCAATATTTCAAATACTTGCCCTCTAAAATTTAATAGGTAACTGCTGTTGTAACTGAATGAGGATGTGTGTTAAAGCTTACCAGTTTTTTGTTATTTTTTTAACTTTTCACATCTGTCCATTAAAATTAAGCTAAGACATGAAATTTAAAAATAAATTGCGAATTTAATATGCTTAATAGAATTCTTGGATATGCTAAATTAGCACTTAGCATACAATTCTTAAATCAATAGACAATTAATTTAATCCTATTGTTTTTTCAATTAAAAATAACCAACCTAAATTGAGAATAGGTTTAACTTTTCTGAATTACTTTGCATAACAGAAGTTTGAAAAAGCAGATTATATACAATTAAATAATTAAAAAAAGTATTATTATTAGGTCAGATTTGATGAATCTTATTTAGATTATATTTGATTACTCAAAACAATTTTTTGTTATCGTTTTTTAGTTTAACGATTAGTTTAGTATAGAATGACTAAATTCTATATATTATATTAATAATTCCTTCTTTCATTTTAAAACCACAGGTAATTCAAGAAATATATTCTATTAACATGAAATACTGATTAATGATAGATTATATATAGACATTTTTATATTATATTATTTATATGATATTATATATTTATAGTAAATTTAACTTCATATATTATAATTATTTAATTTGTTTATTTTAAATACATAGTCAATTATAATTATTATTAAACTAGAATTATACTATTTTTAGAAAATATATTAATACTAAGCCCGAACATGTTTTCTTGTACTATCAATGAATTAATAGTTAGTTGATAAACTACTCCTTGTAATGATATTTACCTTTTTTTATTCAATTTTAGTACGAAATGTACATTTTAATTTTATATTATTTTTAGTGTTTTATTTATTTGAATAAAATATCATATGGATTTTAATGTCATATCGAA